TTTTTTTAATTATTTTTTTTAAAATTTTTTTTTTTTTTTTTTTTTTTTTTTTACGTGTTTATTGTAAATGTAGTAACAAAAAAAAATTTAGGTCTTTTTTGAAAAATTTTTAATAATTAGAAAAACGATAAATATTCTTATATATTAAAAAAATACATAATTATATATATATATATATATATATATATATATATATATATATATATATATATTTGTGAATAGATGTAATTTTACATTAATATGAGTAATAAATCTATCTTTAAAATTAGGGAAAATCAAAAAAAAAAAAAAAAAAATTAAAGTGTTATTTAGTTCTTATTACTATAATTTTATATTTATTACAAAATTTCCAAAGTTTATAATTTTTTTTGTATTTATGAAAAATTATCAAAATGGTTGATATATTTTTTAATATATTGCAACATGATACTCTTTTTTTTTTTTTTTTTTCATATTTTTACTTTTTTTATATTTTTTCTCTTTTAATTAATTATTTTCTGTATCCTTTTTTATATATAAGTTACTATAATATTTTACATATATATAAATATATAAATATATAAATCTATTATTAATATATCTATTTTTACCCTAATATTTCAATTTTTTATATTATAGGGAAATTTTTTATTATTAACTTCAATAAAAAAAAAAAATAGTAAAATTTTAAAAAGTAATATAAATGATACATCTTTTTTAAATATAAGTATGAACAATAATTTTAGTGTATTTAATTCTATTAATAAAATACATTCCTTTTTTTTTGTTTTAAAAAATTATTCATTTATTTATTATAAATAATGAAATATCCTTACAACTTGTGTTAATACAAATATATTTTCTTTTTCTTTATAATTTTTGTTTCATATATATATATAAAATTCTTTGTTGATAATTTCTTAAAATCAAATATATTTTATGTTAACCTTTATGTTTAAAACAGTTGAACAATTTTAATATAATATATATTGAAACATATATAATAGTCATTATTCATAAAGATTAATAAATATTTAATACTAATTTATGAAAAAAAATTATTATTTTTTTTTTTTTTAGAAAGTTTTCATTAATTTATTTTAATTTTAGTTTAAAAAAAAAAAAAAAAAAAAAAAAAAATAAAAATTAAAAAAAAAATATTAAATGAATATTTAATAGAGACACTATATTATAGGAAAAAAAAATTTATAAAAACAGTTCTGTCTTTTAAGATTTTATTTTTAAGAATTTCTATTTGTTTCCTTTTCAATCTATAAGATATAAAAAAAAAAAAAAAAAAAAAAAATGTAATTTTTTTAGTAAATTATATAAAAAAAAATAGAAAAATAAATAGTAATAAAAGTTTTACACATTCATGAGTTTGAACAAATTGCTCTTTTAAATTTGATAATTTATCAACTAGTTTTTTTCTTAACTCCTAACAAAAGAAAAAAAAAAAAATATATTACGTAAGTATATACAAAATATTTATTTTTTACTATACATTTTAAAAAAAAAAAAAAATTTAAATATATTTCTAACAACTAAATGTGGAGTATGCTTTTCATATTCACCAATTTCTTCTTTTAATTCCTTTTTTAAAGAATCTCTTGGTTTTTTAATAAATCTAATATAAAGAAAAATAACAAAAAATAAAATAAAATAATAAATAACAAAAAATAAATAAAGTTCATTAAAACAAGTTAAAAGATAATTTTTATTTTTTATAAATATAACATACATTTTTGATACTTTTCTATAGCATTCTTGTTCATTTGTAGTATTATCAATCTGAAATTCAAAATATATATATAAACATGATATTATTTAGTATTCGTAAAATTTTTTTTATTAAAATTATTTACTAATTCTAAAGAAGCTTCACACTTTTTTCTAAAATACAATTCACTAGCTAAAATATTTTTCAATCTGTTATTTTGATGAAGGGTAGCTTCTATCATTTTAGATATCTCTTTTAGCTTTAATAAAAAATAAAAAAAAAATATTGTATTAAATTTAAAAATAAAAATAAAAAATGATATCTACATATTTATGAGAAGTAATTTTAACTTTGTTTTTTTTAATCATCATAATTAAATTTTATATAAATTACTCTTTTTAATGAACTCATATGATTTTCATTCATGGTTAACTTTCTATACAAAATAATGCTAATTGAAAATTATTTCAAAATGATTTAATAGAAATATTCTTTAGTATTATATTTAAATTTTCTAATATTTATATTCGTTTTATTATTATAAAAAAATAAAAAAATAAAAATAAAAATAAAAATAAAATATATATCTTAATAATATTATTTCTAATATTTCAAAAAAAAAAAAAAAAATAAATAAAATAAAAGAAATGGAATATAATATCCTTGTTAATTAAAAAAATAAGAATTTTATTTTTATATCTATATTTTCATAAAATACATACTGTATTATATATAATTTTTCCATTAATAAAATATTATGTTTTAATTTTTTTTTTTTTTTTTATCAATTTCTTTTATTCATTTTGTTTTATTTTTTATTTTTTTTTTTCCTTTAAGATGGGAAATGTTATAAATGATTATATATATATTTTTCATAATTCGACTTTATATATATTTTTATATATATTAATACAAATTCTTCTTTTTATTTTAAATACTATTGGTAACAATAAATATGTTCAAAACTTTTTTTTTAAACTTACAAAAAAAATAAAAAAATTTTACAATTATTATATGAAATCAGCACATTATAATGACATTAGTAAAAAAATTGAAATATCACAGAAAAAAATTGAAAAATATAATAAAATTATAGACGAAAATAAGAAAAAAAACAAACATTTGAATGAATATGACTTAATGATACTAAACGGGAAATATACAAGAAAAGTTCTTAAAGAAGAAAAAATTTTAAATGAATTGATAAAAATAATAAATAATGAAAACAAAAATAATTATTTTACTAAAATAAGTGATACAATTCTTTTATTTTTATATTCAAAAAATATATTAATTAGACATATAAAAACACAAATATATGTATGTTATTCTTTTTAAATTATTCTATTTTATAATTTGAATTATTTATTTTAATTTTTTTTTTTTTTTTATATATATATATTTTAATAAATAGTTAAATATGCTTTTGTTATTAATAAAGTAAAATTATTTTAACTTTTTTTTTTTGATAGGTAGTTATAATTTTTTTGATTTTAAATTATTTTGTTAATAACGAATTAAGAGAATCATGCTTAAAAATTCATTCACATTTAAAATTTAAAAATAATTTTAAAATAATACCTTCAGGTTTAAAGAATTATATTATTAAAATACAATTTATTACTATAATTAATATACAAAAAAAAAAAAAAAAAATGTGTATATAATTTTATTTTTAATTATAATTAAACTATTCATTTTTTTTTTTTTTTTTTTTTTTTTTT